CTCCTTCCTTACGTGACGAAATATATCTTATTAATTAAAAAGTAAGAGTAATAATTAATTAAAATTAGCACATTTGGTATTGTGGTTTATCCTTATATGGCTAATTGCCATATAGAGGCCACATTACCAAGGTACCGCAAAGACAGGTTCGGCTCCCCAAGGAGCGTCATAACTCGCTCTACGGACCAAGAGTAAAGTGAGTTTAGGAAGAACGAAGATATGTTAGAGTGAAAGACAGAAGTAGTCGTGTTAGAAATACAGCATAGAGAAAGCGGACAGGATTGCACTCGATGTTAGGAGGTGCAATAAGTTGAAATTGGGACTAAGACACAAGGACTAAAAAGTTTCAGTATGTGTTTTTTTAATTAAAATTAGCACATTTTAACTTTAGCAATTTATTATATTTCAATTAAATGTCTCTCTTCAAGACCTGTCATTTTATTAACATTTTTGCTTGTGGGTTTTATAAAAACTCAAATAGCGTGTACACTTTCATAAACTTTTTTATACTTAAAAAAAAATTTTTTCAGTCTATAACTGACTTAGTAACTTTTTTGTTTAAGTTTTCTTTAATGTTTAAAGAAATAATTTTCAAATACAATTTAAAACTCTTTTACTACAACTAATACATGACATTAATAGCACTATTACGGAGTCTTTAAAATGATTTGACTTTAAATAAAAAGAAGATTTTTCGAAAATGAGTTAATTTGAATTTAGTTTAAAATTGAGAAAAGCTTTGAGATGTTATTACATTTGAAAAAAGTAAAGGGGTTTTCATAAAGTAAGTTCGACATTGTGATTTATACTCCTCTAGCTAATTGCCTAGCTGAGTACCTCAAACCATCGCGCGCACGATCGGATGGCATTTAAATTTAGAAAATAAGATGGGGTTTAGCGCTTTTTTAATTTCATATATAGGCCCTAAATGGGTCTCATGTGGGCTAGCCCTTGAATACAAAATTTTAACTTTTTTAACTACATATATGGGCCCAAAATCGGCTCCATGTGGGATAGCCCTTGAATACAAAATATTTTGTTTTTTATTATTTAAGGGTAGCCCACATGGGGCCCATTTTGGGCCCATTTTGGGCCCATATATTAAACCCACATAGGGCCCAATCGGACATGTTTGCTGGGTTAACAATAAAATTAGGAAAAATTGCAAATTTTAATAATGAGCTTCATTTAGTTAGTCATTCTAGTGTTAGTAAGTTTCCAAATATTGTTTTAGAAAAGTTTTAGATGGTTTAAGTAGTGACCAGAAGCTTTTATTTGACTACTGCATTGGAATTGCCATTGGAAATATCAGTGTTAAATATTCAAGTTGGGATTGATGGCCTTAATCATTCTCGCTGGTTAACATTGCCAATACAGTTGATATCTTTACATGTCCGAATACTAGTTCCTGATTTTGAATCAATTATTTTGGTAAGCTGTATTGTCCAAGTCTATGTTCCTACCTGGTTCCTCCATAAAAAGAGTAATAAGTTACATGAAGCTCTGTCAATTATATATTTTATGATTAACAAAATCAAGCTCAAAGAAAAAGAGGTACAAGATATTTACTTAGCAAACTTAAGGTTCAATACTTTTTGCCTACTTCCAGAGAATATTTTGTACTCAACGTTAAAGTCAGAGGAAATATGTATATTTATAAACCTTCTTAAATTAAGTTCGTACCAAATTCAATATCGGGGACCTTTAGTTCAGAAAAAATTTCTTCCATTCTTTAGTAAAAAATAAAACTTCGTTTTAAATTGCACTTTGCAAAGTTTTAAGGATGATTCAAAACGGCATTTACTGGACATGGAATTCGATATATTAGATTTCAAATACCTTTTTTGAAAACAATTTAAAGGTTTAAACTAAATCACTTAAAAATAAATTAAATCTTTAACACTTTCTTTAGCTTTTATTAAAATGGTTTCAAACCATTAGTATAAAAGATATTTTACTTATATTGCTTTTTTTTTTTGAATTAACCAACGCATTTTTTTTGTGTTTTTATAACTTTCATGATTTTCTGTCGTATTTACTTTTTTATTTTTAAAATTATTCTGCTGGAAAATTGTTAGCAACAAATTATTTTATTGCTGAAGTTTTTGATTTTTTTTTGTTTTTGAATTTATACTGTCTTTTTGTCTTTTATCATTTATTGTGCATGTAAATTTTTGTGTGACGGGGCTGGGTGATAAGACAGTATGTCTTCTTCTTGCTCCGGCCAAGATTTTCTTTTGTTGTAATTTCTTTTTTGTAATATTTATCAAATAAATAATATATATATATATATATATATATATATATATATATATATATATATATATATATACACACATATATATATATATATATATATATATATATATATATATATATATATATATATATATATATATATATATATATATATACTAGGTTGGTTGAAAAGTTCGCGGAGCGGAAATGAAAAAACAATTTTATGATTCAAAAAATGACTTTATTCTTCAGTATATTCTCCCTTAAGAGCAATACACTTTTTCCAACGATTCTCCAATTCATGTATCCCATCTCTGAAGTGCGATTCCGGAAGGCCTTCAAAATACCCATTTACGGCTGCAATGACTTCTTCATGTGATGAGAAACGCTTTCCACGTAGAAATTTTTTGAGATGTGGAAAGAGGTGGAAGTCGGACGGAGCCAGATCTGGTGAATAGGGTGGATGTTCCAAGCGTTCGTACTTTAATTCGACCAATTTCGCCTTTGCAACATCGCTGATATGAGCAGGTGCGTTGTCCTGGTGATAAATGATTTTTTTATGCAGCAAACCAGGTCTTTTCTCACGAATTTTTTTATCCAACTGGTCCAAAAGATTTTTATAATATTCACCTGTTATCGTTTTACCGGTTTGAAGGTAATCTATTAATAAAATTCCTTTCGCATCCCAAAAAACTAATGCCATAACCTTCTTTGACGATTTTGACGCCTTCACTTGCTTCGGAGCTGAACAACCGGGTTCTGTCCACTCTGCAGTTTGTTGTCGCAGCTTCGGATCATAGTGGTAAACCCAAGTCTCATCCATGGTTACGAATCGACGCACAAAATCTGTTTTATTCTTTTGAAAACGGGCCAAATGTTCTTGAGAAAGTTTTACTCGAGTGCGTTTCTGATCCAGAGTTAGCGAATGCGGCACCCATCTTGCCAACAGCTTTCTCAGACGTAATTCATCGTGCAAGATGTGTAATACCCGTTCATCTGAGATGCCCACAGCCTCAGCAATTTCACGTTTGGTCAATCGTCTATCATCCATAACCATGTCATGCACAGCATTAATCGTTTCTTCAGTAGTAGCACTTTTTGGACGTCCAGAGCGAGGGTCATCTTCAAGGCTTGAACGCCCACGTTGAAACTCCGCAGCCCATTTGCATACTGTTGTTTTTGAAGGAGCATCATCACCCAACACATTTACCATTTCATTATGAATTTCCATGGGCTTTAAACCTTTTTTCACAAAGAATTTTATTACAGCACGATGTTCAATATTTTCCATTTTAAAAAATACTATGACACGTCTAATTTCAATAGCTTGTAAACAAAGACTGAAAGGACATATCGACTTGAAATTTTTTATGCGTTCATACGAAGAATGAATACGTTTAATACAGTTATAAATTTGTTTCTACTACTGCAACATAGGTGCCGCTCCGCGAACTTTTCAACCAACCTAGTATATGGATATATATATGTGTATGTGTGTGTGTGTGTGTGTGTGTGTGTGTGTGTGTGTGTGTGTGTGTGTAAGTTTGTGTATGTGTGTGTATAAATGTTGATATTTATCAATACACACACATACAAAAGCATATTCATTATATATATATATATATATATATATATATAAATGAATAAATAAATATATATATATATATATATATATATATATATATATATATATATATATATATATATATATATATATATATATATATATATATATATATATATATATATATATATATATATATATATATATAATGAATATGTATGCATCATATAAACATTATAATATAATGTATAAATCATGTATATATAAATAATTATACATCAGATTAAATGAAACAACACAGTAACAAGGTGTCAACATACGTAATAATCTTAATAATTATTTATACAACCCATGATGGAAAATAATAAAATGGAATGAAACAACACAGTAACAACAAAATATATACAATTTATTTATCCATTTACCTATTTCTACAGCCATGATATTACAAATCTTTGCATATATATATATATATATATATATATATATATATATATATATATATATATATATATATATATATATATATATATATATATATATATATATATATATATATATATATATATATATATATATATGTATATATATATATATATATATATATATATATATATATATATATATATATATATAAATTAATATGTATATATTAATTTATATATAACACAGACACACAAAATATCAATACTATTCTATAAAACACAAAGTGAAAAGTCTTGGTGCAATTTTGATATCTTTTGTTAAAATTCCCTTATTATACTTGTAACTTAGTTACTCTTTTATTTAAATATTGTATCGATTATAGTTTATAGATCATAGAGTATAGAATATAGAAAATTAAAAAATATCTTTAAACGATAAATAACTAAATAAAATAATAGTCTTAAAATAATCAACCAAAACAAGTAGACATATTTAAGTAACCGAGTTTGCGCATAATATTGTATGCGCCAAGTTGATAGTATTAATTTTTTTACTTATTTTTAAGGTAATTAGGACGTCTTATGTAGGTCTTAGCGACGTCAATAGGACGTCTAAATATTGAAGTCCTGATATCGTCTTTATATTAACGTCACAAGGACGTCCTAACAAAGACGTCTTTACCAGACGTCTTTAGGACGTCCTTATTTGGTCTGAGACGTCGCGACCTAGTTAAGGCGTCCGTAAGACGTTTGATTCATGTCTGTGCCCGCTG